AAGTTGTCCTGTACTGGGCCTTTTTTAATGGGCCTAATCCTGTTTAATGTTTTAAGTTGTCTGGGTGTCCCATCACTAATCAGGGGCATTCTAGTAACTTCTTGTATCATTGTACTACACCATAATATAAATAATAGTACTGTCGACTGAGCAGTGCAGTTCGACATTCCAGCATCTCTTCTTCTCTTTTCTGCTACTTCGGCTACAGTAATTTAGCTTTCAACTTCCTCCCCTTCTCTAGTATCAGTTCTGTTTGTGAAAGGGACCTATAACTCCTAAATGAACACCCCCTGCCGAATTCACTCAGGTTGTGTGTGGGGGGGGATTCCCCCTCCAAATCCTTATGTTCTATATGCAATTCTTCTTCCAAACTTGAAATTCCATTTCCTTTCTTTATCTTGGAGATCATAGATTACTTCGATTTAAATTAATTACCTCCTTCCCCTCTCCACTAAAAAATTGGTCAACTTGAGTTCATTTTTTTTTTCTTGGGGAAGATGAATTTGAATATGAATGTTTAGTGCTTTGAGAGTTAGAGTGCAGCTGAGGCAGTAGAGGGGATGGCTGGAGAAGAGTCAAGTGAGGATATTAAAAGGAAGAACTAGGAGGGATAAGAATAAGATAGAAGGGGAAGGATCTAGCGCTGAGAGAAGAAAAAAGGTAGTTATGAGCCAGGGAGGAAGGAACTACCATATGCACTCTTAGGGGATGGGACAGGTTGGTACTGCAAGGCATACACAGTGATTTCCTAATTGGTGAATGAAGGAGGTGGTAGTAGATATAGATTCTCTATAAGGGGAGGGGCTCTGATTCTTTTCCCATCTGAAATTTCTCTCTAGTTTTGCTTTCATGTTGATGATTGGTGAATGGGTTCTTTGATATAGGAGCTTGAATTCTATCCTGCTGTTTTTGTTTGGCATAGGGGAATGGGGGTGTTTTCTGGGAGGAGGGATCTGTTCTTTTTTATTCTTGAGGTGGTCCAGCAGTGGTTTCTTTCTCTGTTTTTTCTTGAGATGGATTTCTAGGTGCTTCTTTTGAATCGTTCTTTTGGGGTTTGAGGTGGCTACTTGTAGTTTCTTTTATTGCTGCACTTTATTTTCCCTTTTCTAGGGCATGCCATTGTGTCCTTCTTGCATAGCTTTTCTTTTTAATTCTTTTCCCTCCTGTTGTTTTTCCAGAAATTGGTGTATTTTTTATTTTAACAGTAAACAAATCAAACAAAAATATGAGATAAAAGCTTCTGGACCCAAACTTTCTCCTAGGAAATACTTTTTGTGGTTGGGCACAATATGTTCAAAGAATCTCAAATAGAAAATCAGAAATACCGAGTTTATCTGTTGTATATATATATATATTTTTATCAATAACAATCAGCTTTATTAAATTAGAAAGGAGCAATTACAAAATATAGGGCAGGTAAAACGACTTAACTCCCCAACAACAAATTACACAAAGAGATATATTAGAAATTAGCCCAAAACAAAGACACCCTATTCACCCCTTCCTTAGCTAATCCATCAGCAAAAGAGTCGGCATTTCTTTTCACCCAGCTGTACTTCACCTCAATGTCCCTAGCAAACCACTTGAACTTTTTCCTTTCATTACTGTAGCTCCACATGGTACTGTTGTCTTCCTTTAGCCACCTAACCACCACCTCTGAATCACCTTCAAGGACCAATCTTCTTATGTTCAATTGTCTTGCTCTTTGGATTCCTTCCAAAACCGCAGAGATCTCAGCCCTGAGAGAGTCCCCTTCTCCAATTGGGCCTGAATACAAGGCCAGAATAGACCCTTCCTCGTTCCTGAAGACACCCCCGGTCCCAAACAGTCCTGGATTTCCAAAACTACTCTCATCAAAGTTCAGTTTTATAAATCCAGAGGGTGGGGAAGTCCAAATGGGGCTGGAAATTCTCTTAACTGGAGCAGAGTTTGCTATCTCTTTCCAATTTCTCAGCAAGTCAGTCATGGAAAAGTCTGTAAAAAGGTCCGATGATTTCAGCCAGTGAACCACCCTTAGGTGTATCAGATCTGTTAAGCTCTCAGCTGTTCTCTCCTTGTCTGAAAATATACGAGAATTCCTTTCTTCCCATAAGGACCAACAAACTGCTGCCCTAATGCATCTCCACATAATCCTCCCTCTGTTCTTAGGTCAACTGAAGAAGGACGAAGAGAATAGACTTTGCACATTCAAGGGGGGACTCCAATTACACCCAAAAAAGGATAAAGCCCACACCCAAATAGATTTAGCAAACAAGCAAGTAACCATAAGGTGGTAGCGAGTTTCCCCATCAACCTTGCAGAGAGAACACCAATTTGGGGATAAACAAGAATTAGGTCTCTTTCTTTGAAGTAGGTCACTTGTGTTGATTCTTTCCAAGAAAGTTTCCCAGCAAAAACCACTAACCCAATGAGGAATGGGCTTACTCCAAATCTCTTTAGCAGGGAAGGAGTTTATCTGTTGTTAATTAAAAAAGAAACAGAAACACCCAATCTTTTTTATTAGAATTTGAAGAGCAATAAAAACAAATTTGTAGAATTAAGGACCTGCTGATAACAGAAATACTGAGTTTATCTGTTGTTAATTAAAAAAGAAACAGAAACACCCAATCTTCTTTTTTGAGGGTGGATTTTTTTGGGGGTATATAGTGGGTTGTCTTGTACAGTTTTCTCTTTGTACAAAGGACCTTGATCAGTGATTAATACAATATACTATACTTTGCCTTTTTCCAAAAAAAAAAAAACATAATCTGCAAAGGTGGGGGGAAATTTGATAGTTGATGACATTATTATTATCTTTAGTGGAACGAATTTACTAGTAGTCAAGGTAATTTGGTTAAATTTCTTCTATATCCATGTAATGGACTTTGGACCTTGACTGCATGCTTGTACTTTTCAACATCATTTAAGGCTTGGTTTATTAATACTGAATCCTCAAATTGTTATTAAAATTCTTGCAACTTTGTTTTTCTTTCAATTTTGTAACATATTATTGGGTAGGTTGGAGTTTACTTTTTTCCCCTCATAGGTTCTACAAGCTCTAAGAAGGTTGAAAGGGACTACAAATAGCAAGAAGCAGAAAATGCCACAAGAGATAAAGCTTATGTTTGACCAGCTAACTGAAGACTCCGTGAAGCTTATGGAAGATGGTGATTACAGTTAAGTGTGTTTACTATGTTTAATCAATTCATGAGATTACAAGATGTATGTAATTTTGATTAGGTTGATAGGTTAAGAAGTTTGAACTTGATGAAGCTGAGCTCAAATGTGCTGTTCAAAAGAGATGTATCAAGTGCTGGCATAGTGGTTAATTTTTTTGAGGATTCCTAAGGTGTTTCTCTTCTTTCACAGCCTTTGTGCAGTGAACCCTTCCTGTATCTTTCATTTTTTTTCCTTAAAAAAATCTTACTTTACCTCTTCAAAAAAAAGAAGGATGTAATGAACTTGATATTAGGGGCACAACATTTGTAGGCTTTAAACTGCACATGACTGACTGAACCTGATTCCAAGCCAGGTTGGGCTATTTGATTGATTAGCAATCTGAAAAGGAGCCTGGGTTAGTCCCCCCCTTTTTTGATTGGTAGCTAGTTACGGAAAAGAATAAATGTGATTGAACAAAACCTTTTTTTTTTTTTTTTTGGGATCAATAAACAAAACCTGTTTCTTATAACATAGCTCATGGTAGCCCCCTACTGCCAGTTCTAGTACACAGTGATTTAAAAGGTGCACAGGCGAGACACATTTTGGGGTATGTGCCTCGCCCAGGTCCTAGGGGCACCCCTTTCAAAAGGCGCACGCCTGGTGCGCCTAGGCGTGCACCTTTTTAAAAATTCGCGCTTTTTGCTGTTTTTTGAGTTCGCGAGCAAACTGGAGCTCCGAGAACCCCCTAATTTGCTAATGTCGTTCATTCATTCATTGCAATAAAATATCTTCTTAAAAGGCAATGAAAGTTATAAAATCATTATTTTTTATATGAGAAATAAGAATTTCAGACCCTAACATAGACTTGTTCGGGCTTGCCTCGAGGGGCATGGTACAAAGGTGACTCATAGAATCAAGATTGTAATATGTTTTATATCATATTAGCTACTTGAAGCAATGCAATTAAGGGAAAAAAGAGACAGTGGGTTTTACATGCTTGAAAATGCTTTATATGTTTGTATTTATTTTTAAATTTTCATTTGAATACGCTTTACATGTTATGTTTATGTATTTTAATTTTAGATAATAGGTTTTTTAAAACATTTATTTTAAAATTTAAGTTTATATTTTTTATTAACATTATGTTTTTTTGGCCTTCTTTTAATTTTCTGACTTTTTTTTTTTTATTTTTAGCTTTTTTTTTTGTAATTTTGCGCCTTTCTTAAAAAGGGCGCCTCGCCTTGCGCCTCAGGTGCAAATTGGCCCTTGCGCTTTTAAAACATTGCTAGTACACCCTTTTATCTATACATTGCTGTTGAGTGGGTCACCTTTGGTTACCCCTCAATACATATAAATTCTGTTCACCCATTGTTTTGCCAAGGAATCTGCCAGGCTATTACATTCGCTTGGGATCTACTGAAACCAAACTCCTAACACCCTTACCAGCTTCGTATTTTTCATAATATATTCCTATACCTCCATGGTCCAGGGCTGGGCTGTAGTCTAACAGGCACCTAATAGGTTTTTTATCAGCAAAATTTAATATTATTATATTAATTGAAAGAGAGTAAGTACAAAGTGATTTCACAATTCATAATCTGATTTTACGAGGAAGCCCATTACAAATGCTGTCTTACATTATACCCCCTTGTTTTGCTTTGGAGTCGGCTACCCCATTTGCGCTCCTTCTAACCCATTTGAATTCAGCATTTAGGTCCTTTGCTATCCTTTCCCCTTCCCCTTCCCTGAAAATATGTTTGAGGGTGCAAGGGATATGTCTATTACATCTTGCCCACGAGATAATGACTTTTGAGTCCCCTTCCACCTTCACTTGTTTGAAGTCCAATTGTTTTGCAAACCTGAGCCCCTTCAGTAGTGCCAAAAGTTCAGCTTTCACCGAATTTGCAGTACCAATTAGCCCTGAATATAATGCAGTATCCTACTCTCTGAGTTTCTAATTGCTCCGCCTACTCCTGCCAACCCCGGGTTGCCCAGTGATCTCCCATCAAAGTTCAGTTTTACTTTAGCATCTATTGGGGGTTTCCACTCCATTCTTATCTCTTCTTTTTCCTTCCCTCCAATTAGGACTGAGCATTTTCAGTTAAAACTGAAAAACCGAACTGAATTTCGGTTTCAATTTGTTTGGTTTGGTTAATTCGGTTTTTGAGTATTTCGGTTTTGGTTTTGGTTTTTAGAATTACAAATTCATTTAACCGAATAAACCGAACTTTAGTATATAATATATAATATGTAAGATATAATATATAATATATAACATATTATATATTTATATATTAATATAATGAAATTTGATTTTATAATATATAATATATATTATACGTTATAATATATAATATAGAACATATTATTAAAATTTGGTTTTAACCGAAAACCGAACCAAAAATTTCAGTTTCGGTTATTTCGGTTTTTTCAGTTTTTCTAAAATTTGGTTTTGTTTCGGTTTTTAATTTTTCAGTTCGGTTTTTAAAATTTTGGTTTATTTGGTTAGGTTTTTAACCGAATAAACCGAATGCTCACCCCTACCTCCAATTCCTTATAATGTTAGACAGTGAGAAGTTGTGGAAACTATCCCTGTTTTCTACCCAAAAGGCTACCTTCACTTTAATACTATCTAGCACCTCCTCCAGAGACCTGTTCCTCTCCTCCCACACCTTCTAAACAACCCCACTTCCTCTCTTCTTTGGTTGCGCCAAGAAAGCTGGGTTGAAAATATCCACCACCTCTTGAGGGGGTCCCACCTGCAGCTTTTCTGCAGCATGCCACAGGTATTTCCCTTTCCAAGGAACATTTCGCAACAGAGCTTGAATTTTAGGCACCAAACAGTTATGCTTGAATTGCCTTTTTCCATGAAGTTAGTGAGGTCTAATGATCTAGCTAGCTGAAGTCCATGCAGAAGTGCTGTTGTTTCAGCCTTTAATGACTCACCATGATGCAGTAAGTCTAGAATAAATTGGCACAAGTTAGAAAGAGAGAAGTATATAGACAAAGTAGAAAGGGTAGAGAGAGAAAAAGGAAAAAGAACCCCAAGGAACCACCCCAAGGAATCTAGAATACTCTAGGGTTTGTAGGAATGACTCCATACAGCAAGTTTGCAGAATAGCTCTAAAGAAATCTTCTTAGCTTCAAAAGGAAGAGAATACATATCCATAGAGTGACTTGTGTTGTCCGGAATATTGGTTATCAGAATTACCAAAATGCCACTTTTCATTTTTTTTTGGTAAGGGTGCCACTTTTCATTTGTGCATCAAGAAACACATTCCACCTACTAGTATAAATAAATTAAAAATCAAAAGATAAGCCCTGCTAATCTAGAAAATCAAGATACCATTGGGCCAGGCCCACATGGGATTGGAAAGAATAATGAAAATATCCCTATTATCTAAAAATGCAAAAATACATAAAATTTTTGAAAAATTCCATATTTGATTCTTCAGCTCCTGCATCATTCTCCCCCGGTTCAAAAAAATGTCTTCAAGTTTTAAAGAACTTGAGGTCAAAAAATTGATCTACCTCAATGACAAAAAGAGTAGGAGTTCCCAAAAGTACGTCAACACACAACACACTTGGACTATAGAGTAGATGCCACACACATAGCTACAAACTGATCTTGAAAGCAATGCATATCCTTTTTTTGATAAATGATAAGTGGAATTTCATTAAGATTAAGAAGAAACTATTAGTGGACTAGCATTGGAGTTCCAAGAGGCACGAGCTGCAACCTCCAAAAGAAAACAAAATTACAATTGAGCCCAAAATAAGTTGTCCTTGAACACCCCTTGCTTAGCTAGAGAATCTGCCAGCTCATTAGCTAATCCCCTCTCCCACTGAACTCTCACTATTAGTAGGACTAGGCTACAGTCTCCAGCTCCTTCGGCCACCTAGTTACCAGTTTAGAGTCATCTTCTATTAGTAGGTCCCCAAAGTTCTGTTCTCTAGCAATCTATGTGCCCTATAAAACTGTTTGAATCTCTGCCTTAACCGCATCACCCACTCCAATTGGACCAGAAAATAACGCAACAATCTGACCCTCTGTGTTCCTAAAAACTCCTCCCACTCCAGAAGGCCCCCAATTACTGAAGCAACTGGCATCAAAGTTCAGCTTCATGAAACCTTCTTCAGGGCGCTTCCAAATTGCTATAGGCTTGTTCTTAACTGAGGAAGAATTAGCAACCAGTCCCCAATATCTCCAAAGGTCGTCAAACGAGAATTGTGAGAGTAGATTTGAAGCTTTAGCCCAGTTGATGGCGCTGATCATATTGCACATCACTCTCTTTGTCATTAAAAATCCTAGCATTTCTTTCCTCCTAAACTGTCCAAACAAGAGTCTCTAGCACATCTCCACAACACTCTCCCCCCTTGTCTTAAGCCACTTGAAGGTAGATGGGTCGAATAGCCCACCAATCTGTAGGGGCTCTGTCCACTTGCAACCAAAAAGACTAAAGATCTTTTCCCATAGTCCTACAACAAAAAGGGCAGGAGATTAGTAGATGGTAACAGCTTTCTCCATTAGCTTTGCAAAGGAAATACCAGTTTGGTGAAATGCCAAGGTCCTTTTCTTTTGCAGGTTATCCAAGGTGTTTAACTTCCCAAGAGAGACTTTTGAGCATTGGGGTCCCACTTTAGGGGGTTGGGTTTGGGCCAGATTTCCTTGCAAAAAAAACGGGCTGATGGTTAGGGACAAAGCAATGCCTAGATAAAAAAAGAAGCACAAGAGAAACGGCCTGAGGGGTTAGGGGTCCAAATATGAGTGTCAGGTTTAGAAAGATCCAAACAGATAGGTTTAAGGGTTTTGGGAAGCAAAGCAACCTAGTAAAGCTCTGATTTAAAGTGGGATAAGGAATGCAGGGAGGGAAAAGCATCCTTGAGAGTGGAATTACCAATCTGGAAGTCCTCCTAGAATGTAACCTATCTCCTATACACACATCATACTTGATGAAGCTCAAGAAGTTTGGAAGAACCCCACTGATAGCCTTCCATAGGTTACCACTAGTATGGCTAGTGGGTCTTTTAGTTAAAAGGACAAGAAATGATATGACTTAAGTAATGCACGATGTGCAGGAAGTTGGAAAACAGCCCAGGCTGTTTTTTCCCCAAACAATCAAAGCTTTCCCTACCCATCAAAAAACAACTCAGTAAGTTGCTGGTTGGGAAACTTGGAAACTTGAATATTTAATGCTAACATGAGAAAAAGGAAGCAAAATTGAGTTATTGCTGACAGTATTAGACTCCCTAGAGAGCTCCATCTTTTTGCGATATGATATAAATAACATTCAATTATACCCAGCGTTGCTCAACACAAGTCCAACTGAACTGCACCTATCTTGGCTTGGATATAACTCAGATGTAAGGCCTTCTCTTGTAAAAAGAGGTATTTGTTAAAATAAGAAAGGGTACAATTTCATGTGATGGTAGGGCATTGGGTGGGTTTGGGCCAGTTATGGCTCAAATTTTTGCTTTGTTTTAGCATTGAGCAAAATCGATTTCTACTTTAAGTTCTTGCTTTCAGTTATACTCTTTAGATCTTAGATCAATTCACCAAATAACATCTTTTTTTTTTTTTTTTTTGGCAGATGTATACCATGAAACAAGGGAGATGTTTGAGCGTGAGGCAGGTCAGTAGAGTATTTGGTTATGTTACCTGTCAATATTGTGCTAATGAGGGAACCTTCCAGCACCTAGACACTAGAAAGCACAGTATATGATATCAAACAGGGACCCTATTATAAAGCATGTCATATCAGCATGGAAACTGTTGGGGTGGCTCTGATGATTACAATTTGTTTCACACATGCGCGTGTGCACATACACACATTCATCCATTCTTCTCCATGTGGGTGCATGTACATTTATTGTCTCTGTAAAGAATATTTTGGTGTTCTTGCTCTATGCTTGGATCACTTGGATGTATGCACACCATACACCTAATAAAGGCAGGAGGCCACACAGAATTCTGTTTTATAATGCTTGTCTTGTTTTTCTGCATCCCAGAGGGGTATGAGAGGTTATCTCGTGCAAGAGAGGGCACATCTGTAAGTTCTGATGTTGGTGGTTCTGGTTCCGATGCTGTGAAGGATATTTTCTCCAATGGACAGGAACCTGGAGTACCTTCCTCATTACCCTCTGACATGGTTGTGGGTCCTTCACTCCTGAATTCATCTACTGCACAAGTTTCATCCAGCAACGGTGCTGATTCATTTGATATGTTTGCTGAAGATGATGTGAACACTACTTCAAATCCATCTTCTGATGTAAATAGTTTGGATTCTGGTTCTACTCCCAAACAATTCCCTCAACCTTCATCTGAAAGAGTGAACACAGATCAAGAAAGTAAGATATTCCAACTGCAACTTCCTGAAGCTACCTACTAAAATGGCCTACTTTCCTCATTTCTCATATTTGCTGAAATCTGCAGGTGGAGATCTGCAAAGTGATTACGTATATGATGAGTCATCTGGGTAGGTATTTTTAATTGTATATTTTCTTTGTAATCTCTGTGTGATAGACAGGGTGTGCAGTTGCAATGGGACTTAAGTAGTAAAATACTTTCACCTTCTAGAAATTAAGTAAACAAAACTTACTTTCAATTAATATGATAATATTATTAACTTTTGCTGATAAAAATATGTAAAGAAAACATGCATTTTTTTTTTGTAATGGACTTAAATCATGCTCACTTCATGTCTTTTAATTGTGGGTTTTGATACACTTGCATATATACTCACTGGTAATTCCTTCATTTGGATGAGCAAAATTTTCCATTACTTTTGGATTGCGCAATTGTTGGTGCTCAAATATTTGTAATCCAAAAAGAAGTGTGCAACTTATTGTTGCATGATTTGAGCCTTAGATACCTATTCTATGACTATAAAGATGGCTATGCCAGGTTAGCACCTAGTAAGTAGGGTTGGATATTGAGCTGGGGTGGTACAATCCTGGCCTGGTCTATTCCAAGATAGCCCAGTCCAAGGTAAGGGACCTGGGTTGGCCTTGGCCCAGTTGAAGGGCCCTGAGACCTGGCCTGGTTAAGTGGTTATATTTATAGGGAGCAGGTGCTAGGTAGATGGTTTAGAAAAGAAGATCAAACAACCAAGGAATCTTCTGTGTGAAAACTGGTTGGGCTAAAATGGCCCCACATGTTCCTCTATTAATGGGTTCAAATTTGAGCCCAAAATCCCTTGCCGCATGGTTCTTTTTTGGTCAATTTTAATGTCAAAATATTGGACGTATAGCCAATACTATTTGTGAAAAAAAACTAATAAATACCGTTTCCCATACCTGGTGGACGTGGACCGGAGCATTGAATAAGTGGTCAATTAGAAGGGTCCACTACCTCGTGGATGGCTAGGTTGGCCACACCATGCTTCCATGTGCAGAAATACGATAGGTTGTGGCAGAGCTCCCTAATTAACCCCACTAAGAGGCCTTTGCCAAGCAGTTCCCTATATGGCCAACTCTGTTTTTTGCTAGATGGAAGGATGATGCGGCTGATCCAAACTGTTCATTGGATAGGGTACCCTGTCCTCCAGATTGGCTATGTCTCTCAATACTGTTGTCTATGTCTTCCTACATATTGTATTGATATTTTCTCTGGGGTAACATCAGCTGTTCAAGGTTTTGATATTTTAATTTAAAAGTGCACATCTAAGAAATTCTTGTTTTAGGCATGTTGCTGGGACTATTTAGCTTAAATTTCTCCCATATGCAAAAGGGTGGAGAGACAAGGAGTCCTATTGACCTCAAACCATTTTGTGACATGTAAAATGTCTAGGTCTTTTGGTACTAGCTTGGGCGGGGTTTTGGTCTGAGCTTGGGCTGCTTGCTGCTTATTGCTTGTTCCTACTTTCTTTTTTATTGGAAACGGTACAGCTGTCAACCCCATAATATGAAGTTGACCCCAGTTACATACTCATTACAACACTTTTGATCTACCATTTGTATGGCCTTCCCTTGCATCTCTAATTCTTTATGCAAAGTGGTATATCTGACATCATTTATTGTCTCTTGTTAATCTTATTTTTCACTGTGCCCTCACTCTATGTCTTATTGCACGAGGCTGAAGCAATGATTTCAGAATAGGGATAAATTTATAATACATTGTTATTTCATTTGGTCTCTTTACTTTCTTTTTCTGAATTCTGCATTATTCTCTAATGTTAAATTTGTTTCTTTTTATCTGTTTCAGTTACTATTACAGTAGTAGTTTGGGCTACTATTACGACCCTACATCAGGCTTGTATTGCTGTGCAACATCAGGAAAATGGTATGTATTCCTTTGTTTTCATCTGATGTCAGTGGTTGTCTTGTGTATGCAATTATAGGAAACCTTGTAGAATCAGTATACATTTCGGGAAGTTTAATTTTAGACAACTTGCTTAGGTGCACTTTGATAGGCAGAATACTGTTGTGGTGGAGCTTATGCACATGATTGGATTAGCTTGATTACTCAAGGCTATAAATTCTGTTTTGGGAAATAGCTTTCGAAGTTTAGCCTTAAACTATCACATCCTAATAAATGAACTTGCTTTGATAGAAAGCTTGCTTTATGGAAGGACTTTTGGTAGTGGTGAGACAACTCCCAGTTGTCAATTGGCATAGGCTCTATCAAATTCCTTGCCACTTCTAGAAGGTGACTGTGGTTGATAAATAGCATGTACATCTTGCAAGAATATTTCAAGGACTCCAAACCCTTCAACTAAACATGAGTGGAGAGAATTTCATTGAGTTGAGGGATTGCAGGATTGTAAATCTTTAGGGCAAGAGTGGGGTTGGTTTGAACTTTGAAGGAGACCAGAAAAAATATGACTTTTTTTTGGAATTTGGAAGCACGTTCAATGAAGGAGGAATGAGACAACAAAGAAAGGGTGTTTTGTAAGTGGCTGTGGAGGTTTCCCATTGACTAGATCCTTGTCCTTAGAGGAGATAAAGAAGGCTATAAGGGGGATGAGTGGTAACAAAGGGGTTCACTCTGGCCTTTTACCATGAGTGTTGGGAAACCATTCAAGAGGATTTGAAAAGAGTTTTTGATGATTTTTGCAGAAGGGGGAAGTTGGGAAAAGGAATGAATGCAACTTTTGTGTGTTTTGATTCTGAAATGTGTGGGTGCTACCTCTATTAATGGGCTTAAATCCATTAGTCTAACCACAAGTTTATATAAAATTGGATCAAACTTTGATTGCGAATGAAGCTTTTGAGAATTTTAGAAGTCAAGAAGGAAAGGTTTTGTTTTTCAATTGGATTTGGAGAAGGCTTTATGATCATGTTGATGATGGGATGTTTGAAGTCTACCCATTTCTTTAGTGGGTATTGGGGATGGGGTTTGGTTAGAGATGGGTAAATTGGATAGTGGGATGTTTGAAATCTACCCATTTCTCAATTATCATCAATGGGGTTCCCCAAGAGATTTTTGAGGTATCCGGGGGCTTATTAATTTATTATGACAAGGGGAACCATTAACTCCCAAGCTGGTCAGCTTAGTGGTTGAGATCTTCCATTAACTTCTAAAGAGGGCTGATGAAAGAAATATCGTTGGAGGGTTAAAAATGGAGGAAGAAAACCAAGTAATTTAGTACTTGCAGTTTGCAAATGACACCTTGATCTTGAGTGGATTCAGGGGAATTCAAGACATTAGAGCATTGAGGCAGATCTTGGAGACATGGTTCAAAGTATTGATATGCAGAAGCGTATCAGTACTTAGATACACGTGGAATTTTTTTTTTTTAGTTTTTTTTCAAAATTTGGTTTTGGGGGAGTTTAGGACCCAAAAGATACGATATCGATTTTTTGAACCTTGCTTGGAGATAAYTGAGAAGGTAATAGAATTGAAAATTTAACTTCAGGAAATTCAGCTTGACAGGTATTAGCTTGGAGAGAGGGGTGTTGGAGGAGGGAACAATTGTATTAAGGTGTGAAATTTGAGAATGGCTATTTCAATACCTAGGGCTTCCTTTGGGGGGTAATCCAAGAGATGAGCCTTTCTAGAARGGTATATTGGAAGGTTTATCAAGAGATTAGTCTTGTGGAAAAATAATTTTATTTCTATAAGGGGGAGAGTTTGAAAAAATCTATGTTTTCCAACCTTTTGGTTACCCCTCTTCTTCACCAATAACCCAGTAGCGTGGGGTGTCTAACCTTTACACGTTAATTTCATCTCTTTGTGCCTAACCTGTGGTCCCTCTTGTTCGCCAATGACCTAGTAGCTGAGATTGCCTCTACCCAATGTTTTAAAAGCGCAAGGCGCAAAAAAGGCGCAGGGGTCAATTTGTGCCTGAGGCGCAAGGTGAGGCGCGCGCCTTTTTGAAGCAAGGCGCAAAATTATTTAAAAAATGCTAAAAAATAAAAAAAAAAGTCAGAGAATTCAAAAAAAAATAAAAAATACTAAGCATAATATTAATAAAAAAATATAAACTTAAATTTTAAAATAATGTTTTAAAAAATCTATTATCTAAAATTAAAATACATAAACATAAGATGTAATTATGTAAAGCATATTCAAATGAGAATTTAAAAATAAAATCAAACATATAAAACATTTTCAAGCATTTAAAACCTCTAATCTCTTTTTTCACCGAATTGCATTACTTGTGCTCCGATTCACTCACTTCGCTCACTCAAAAGGTGCACCAAGCGAGGCGAGGCGCATTTCAAGGTAGGTGCATTGCCCAAGTCCTAGGTGCAGCCCTTTCAAAAGGTGCACGCCTGGTGCGCCTCAGCCCAGGCGTGCGCCTTTTCAAACTTAGACATTTTTTTTGCTTTTTTTGTGTCTAGCGGCTGGGCCCCTATTTGATAATGTTGTTCATTCATTCATCCTAATAAAATGTCTTCTTAAAAAGCAATTAAAACTATAAAATCATTATTTTTTGTGTGAGAACTAAGAATTTAAGACCTAATGTGGACTTGTTTGGGCTTGCCTCGAGGGGCGTGATACAAAGGTAGCTTGTAGAATCAGGAATGTAATATGTTTTACATCACATTAGCTATTTGAAGTAATGCAATTAAGAAAAAAAAAGAGAGAGAGATTGTGGGTTTTATATGCTTGAAAATGTTTTATATTTTATATTTTATTTTTAAATTCTCATTTGAATATGTTTTACATGTTATATTTATGTATTTTAATATTAGATAATAGGTTTTTTAAAACATTTATTTTAAAATTAAAGTTTATATTTTTATTAATATTATGTTTAATAATTTTGTTTTTTTTTTTAATTTGTAGCCCTTTTTTTTAATTTTTGTGCCTTGCTTAAAAAGGTGCATGCCTTGCCTTGCATTTCAGGTGCAAAGTGACCCCTGCACCTTTTTTTGTGCCTTGCGCTTTTAAAACACTGGCTTCTACAATCTACTCTCCCTTCATGTTCAGCAAAGAAGTAAAAATGGCAGAGATGTTAAAGTTGAGGTTTATATTACCGTGTCCGCATGTTGGTTTTTGGTAAGAACAGCTCAAGATCAGCAGGGAAGAAGGCCAAAACAGGGTGACAGGAATGGGGTTAGGGGAGTGGAGGAAGAAGAGGAGGTTGTAGTTGCAGAGGGGATGCTAGGGGGTGCTGCCATGGGTCTAATAACAATGGCAGGGCTTGAAGAAATAACTGCAACATGTAGTTGCCATAGTAGCAGAACTTGGTGTTGGATGAGTTGCAAGCATGGGCAAGGGAGATGCTCGCGTTCAGGCGGTAGGAACACCTTTGTGTTGAGGCTTTGTCTGTCAGATGTTTACCAGTAGATGGCCAACAATCAATGTTTGTCAAGGTGAGTTTCCACGGTAGTCCGCTAGTGATCAATGAACATCTATGATAGCAGTTTCATAAGCAGAGTTTCCTCAAAGAATGAAAATGAGCAAGATGGCCTTAGCTAAAAAAGAATGTGGCCCATGGCAAGAATTTTGTAACCAAACATTCTAATGTTACTCAATCTTGCCCATTCTTGCCTGAAATGAGAAAGAATTAAAAGAATGAGGCCCAGACCAGTGAACCAAACATGGCCTTGGCTACTCGGTCATTGGTGAAAAAGAAGGTTTATGGGTTAGGACTTGAAGAGATATGATGATCGTGTAAAGGACTCACATGGAAATGAGACTGGATGAGTATGTGGCTGATCTTGGGCTTTATCGCCCCAAATCTGCTTTCTTTGCATGGCGAGCGGAAAAACCACAAATGACTTGCTAGTCTCTTGTTTGGTTGTTAGCAGTTTGTGGGGATATTATCATCCTCTTTGTGCTAGGTGGTCCCCTCTGCAAGGGCGGCAGCATTATGGTCCATATCAGAACAATGGAATGCAAGGATATTTTTGGAGGAACAGCAATCCTAAATAGGGGTGTCAATTGGACTGGATTTGGTCCAATCCGATCCAGTCCAATGTGAGTCCATTATAAATGGACCAGGTCCAATCCAATCCAATGAATGTTTTGGACCAATTGGGACCAGTCCAATTCAATGTCTGGAYTGTTCAATTCTGTTCAAATTCATTTTTTATTGAGATTGGTTTCAACCCAAACCCGATCCATTGACACATTATTTTCTTATACCAATGGACCAGATATTGGCTTAATCCAATATAAATTTGTTACGGACGGACCAGGTCCAATTCAATCTAATAAATATTTTGGACCGGATTGGTCCAATCCAATGTCTTGTTGGTCCGTCCAATCCGTCCAAATTGGTTTTGCATTTGACACCCTTAATCCTGAAGGCATCATACAAACAATTGAAATCAGTGTAGTCCATTGAGGGTAAGGCAGGAATTTGTAGGAATTCCCCATGTACTCAGGCAGATGACCTTAGAGGTTGGGAGGTAGTGGCATCATGCAGTGGACCTATTATTAGGAATTCCCCATGTCGGGGCATCTCCAGACCTATTGGGTATGGTAATTCAATCAGAACTGAAACAGTGCAGCTCTTCAGTGTTTTAAGCTGGCTAGCACATCAGAGTTCAGGGAACTGATTTTAGAAGGCTCAATGGGCTTCAAAGCTTAGAAACCTTATTAGAGAAGCCATATCTTGGGCACCAAGACCTGCTGACTCCATTGCAGACTCCCTAGTTAGGGAAGCTGTCAGTAGACAGTCTCGGTGGAGAGCAGGAGCATATGTGCACTTGTATACTATATATTACATCTGTACCATGTATCTTGCAATAAATTTACAGCAAGTGATCAAAAAAATTAACTCGCTGGTTTTTATTTCTCTGCAGGTATGCCTTCAATGAACAGACAGGTGCATATGATGAAATACAGGACGAGGCAACCTCTGAACCTCAGTAAATTGAAGCTGCAATATCGTAGCTTCCATCGGTTTGAAGACTTTGTATGGCAATAGAATGTTGTAATGCCTGAAAGCTGTTCTTCATAGAGGGTTCCGTAGACAGCAGTGGATTCTTCGATCTATATGTCCCCTAGATTTGCCTTAGTTCTTCTGTTCACCTTACAAATTTATCCTGTTTAGTTGACTTATGAGAGTGGAACCTTATTTGTGTTTGCTCCACAGAATGCGGATATATTATCAAACAATTTTCCCCCTGTCATCAGTCAATTTCTGAGTGATGAGGAATGCAAGTAGAAACCGTTATTTGTAAGCATTTCTCCTGTCCTGGCTCCTGAGTGTTATACCATTGTTGATTGTCTGTCACTAGTTTGAGCCACCCCTCCCCCAAGTCAACTTTATTTATATCGATCCTGGGCTGTTGCTGGTCTGAGCCATAGTGCCGCCATTCCCCGGCTGAGATAGATGGGTCATCATTTAATTAGATTGGTCCCGGCTTTCAGGATTATGACATTTCATTTTGGGTTGGGTTATGAACTTTTGATTCATAAACTAATCATTCGTTTTTAGTTAGCACTTGCGTCTAGCACCTGCTGTCCGAATTGTCGCCTTGTAAATGCCATAATTGAAACAACCTAGCAAAAGGATAGATGAAAACTAAACTTATGGAATATTTTAAACGTCATAATTGAAACAACCAAACAACCTAGCAAATGGAATATCGGTAGGGCATGGGCATTGTAGCTCGTTAAAAGCGTTTGATCCTGGATCATCTGCAATGCATGGCTGATCCTTTTAACTGTTTACACTGTACATGGTCGATTATAGGATGATCTGTTAATCTAAACGGTTGGTCCAGTGTCTCTGTCCACGTGGAGAAAAAGGCAATTTCAGCAGAGAAGCTYGTCTCCACCAACGGTTTGGATTCCCTTGTTTTTCCTTTCACCATCTTGGTGACAACTCATGAAAATGGGATAAAGAACACAACAGGTCCGGTGGTTTTCTTCAAGGGAAACCATCCTCCGTAATCAACACAAATTAATTGAAGATCACCATCTACTTTTCACGGGTAGCTTAAATAGACAAAATCAAAGACTCCAACAGATTTCCTACCACAAGAATTTTAGTTACACCTACCCACTTAGTACGGGAGACCAGATTAATCAACATAAGTTAATTGAAGATCACCTTCTACTATCAAGGGGTAGCTTAAATACATAAAATCAAAGAGTCCAACGGATCTCCTATCCACAAGAGTCCTCACACCTACCCACTTAGGAGACCTGATTCAGTAATCATATCATTGTGGGTACATTCAATAAGCTCAATCAAGGTTCAAAGTATCGACATGAATCAGCCCATATTGGCTGATACGTATCATTCTGGGACTCCTTCGATACGCCCCTCTGACCTTCAGGGGGTGGAGGAGCCCTAAACTGGCCCCCTTAAACCGGTTGCGAAAAAAATAAAAAAACACACAAAATGCAGTATTGATTTGCCCGACACCCCCCTACTAGCATATCAGGTGTATCGATATTTTGAACCTTGAGCTCAATAGATATTTTGACAGCTGTCTTAAAATTTTGTTTGAATCATTTCAAGGGTATTTTGCCAATTGCGCCTTTAATTAAAATAAACCTTCTAGGCATGCTTACTGCAAGTTACAATGAAAAGAAAAGTAAAAATCCTTGAAATCTCCATTATTGAGGTTTTTGTTATAAGTATGAAACATATCCCTTTACCTATCTATTTGGTTAATCGTCAGAATTGGAATCAGGATGGTCTATTCCCCCTGTTACGTTCAAATGGGACAATATCATAATCAGAATGAACTGGGATTGCCCCACATTCCCAAGGGAGGGGAGGGAAGGGAATGGCCATACCCTCGGATGGGAGAATGCCGTTCCCAATGGAATGGGAATTGGATGCTTGGAATGAGATCAAATCAGCCCCTCACAAGGTTGCCCCTCACAACGTCCCGGTCCCACAGCACATTCCCGCCACGTATTAGAAACATCTCTTGATGATAATACCAGAAATGATGATGTCATCATTGGGAGATATTCCCAATACACGATGGGGATGTGCTGTGGGACGTTGTGGGGGACAATCTTGGGGAGCTGATTGGAACTCGCTTGGAATTGGAATTACATTCTCATTCTGGATCATGAACTTCCCTTGTTGATTCGCATGACAAAAGAGAACCATCACTTAGTAATAGAATTCTATTAGGATCAGTGTCAGATCATATAAGATCAAAATTCTAATAGAACATTAATAGGGCCTCTATTTTGATTATCAACATGCATGCTGTGGTTTACTTTTTAACACTAAATTATGAAGCTTTTCAAACCAAGAAAAAATATTTAAACTTCAGAAGCTAAGCTTCAATATGAATAGTTTTGAACATTTGGATACGTCAAATCACAAAATATATTATCACTACTTGTTAACCTCCTTCAATGGGAAGGATAGTTTGGTGATAGCTGATACCATATCATAGCTAGGAAAGATTATCCCGTCTATAATAGATATCTGAAGTAACATACAACAAATTCTTACACACTAACCTCTCCTTTGAGCTTGTACGATATTTACAGTTCAGACAATATTATTTAACAGACCTAACTAAACAATGCCACAAGGAACGCCCTTGGCTTGGTTCTCTTTAGTCGGACACCATAAGTGCATCTCCTCTCAACAGTTGTTCCTTTCGGTATGAAATTGGTTTTTCTGGCTTCTCTAGTGTAGCAAAGATTTGGTGTAATTCAACTTTTCCCTAATCCTAAAAATGCTACAACTGTGATTGTATTTTATATATTATTGCCTTCTCCCCTTTAATGTCTATGTTCCTGATGTCTGGATATCACATGGGTTGTCATACACCAGAAATATCTTGCAAGGGTCCGATTGAATAAACGTCAACCAGAGGATATTAACCAGTCTGTTGTGTACTTGTGCTTAGACCTGTTCATGGGCCGGGTGGCCCGACGGGCCAGCCCAATCCCTGGACGGGCTTAAACATGCTTATAAGCCCGCGGGCTTAAATTCGAGCCAAAAAGCCCGATTCGTAATAAATTCGAGTCAGGCTCAGGTTGTCAAAATAATCCGGCCTGGCCCGACCTAATATTAAACTTAAAAGTAGTTATGTGATTATGTCCATTTGAATAAATTTTTTGATTTAAGAATGTAAAATTGTGTTTTAAAATATAAAAGAAAGGGAAAAATACCATCTTGTAGGCCCATTGTTCATTTAAATAGAAAAAAAAATACTATCTGAATTTTTAATTCTAATTTGAATAGGGAAAAGTTTTTTTTTTCAATTAGGTCGGGCTCGGGCTCAGRTTTCAGGCTTTTTACCAGGACCGGATCGGGCCCAAATTATAGGCCCATTGATCGAGCCGGGCTCAGGCTCAGGCCTAGTATATTTTCATTAATGACAAGTGAAAACCGGGCCCAAACCCGACACGGCCCACGAACAGGTCTACTTGTGCTTAGTTACTTGGGTATAGAGTATCGCCCCTTCAGGGAGGCCAGCAAAAAGCAAACCGGCTGGCTCGGGATGACATTGTGACAGAAGCTGAGCAACAAAGGAGAGGAATATCATACTAGCCAAATTTGTTGGATGCCACCATGGGTGTACAACAAACACAAGAAAAGTGACAATTAATTAACTGAAATACCAAACCACCACCATTCGGTAACATTGAGTATACACGTCTCACAATTATTGTAAAATCAAAGTGCAGGCTTTAACTGGCTTCGAGAAAAGGACGGGGCGCTAGGGAATGGACGAGAGAAAAATGAAAGATCAAATAGATTATCATCACACAAAAGGTTCGACAGGAACTGAGGAAAATAAGCTATTTTTAATTTACACCTTATAAAATACAAAAAAATGATCACTGAATAATCTAATCCGTATAAGCAGAGTCGAGGAGTATAAATACAAATACGTACAATACAAATAAATATTACAAAATATAAGGTTTTACACTCAAAATATGTATTCATACTCCTTCCAACCCAGGTGTCGGCATGATCCGATCCTTACTCTGTGATACAACCAGGAGACCTTAGCAACCAGCTGATTGGGACCCCTCATTCAGTGTTTCCATAGTCACCTTTGCTCCCTTCTCAACGTGAAGTCTTATTGTTTGTCAAATTAATAAATATAAAGGACCAAGACAAAATCCCTTTTAGCTCTCTAAATCCTTCTGACGTCCAAAAGCTACACAAGGTTCAGAGTACCAATAGTAGTATCCGTAGATACAACAGAATAACCTTCCCAGAGATGCCATAGATCAACTCCTATATATAACTTCAAAAGAAAATAACAAGCACAGATTATAGACCTAGGAGGCATCTGCAGTAATATTTCACTCTGGTCCCGGCGCTATTTCTTAAAATACGTCCACACAAGACTACTAGTTACATCTCATTAAAGAAACGTCACTATCCCTACTGCTGGACCTGTGGTCCTAGCAATTCACAATCTTGTTAGGACTTTGGAGAAAACAGAATTATAACCTATACCCTCAAATAAACGTCTTATAGCAAGGTGTTAGCATCGACTCAACAATTCATCATCTCAGATCATCAACCTCATTAAACACATTTTCATGGACCTCATTCTATGAATGTAAATGCAGGTTATGCATATTGATTGCCCCAACAATCCATCATATAGCATAAGCCTGAACCAGCTCTAGTGAATGGGAAATAAAAGCACAACACGATGCAGTCCAACCAACAACTCCCTCAATTGAGTACGAATCGAACTAATCATATGAACTACTCGTATACCCTATGAGCTGATAATTGATTTGAAATAATTTCAAACACTTCCTACAACAATTTTGACCAGAATAGAAAAATGAGATCAACTTGTCCTCGCATACAAAAAAATGGAATTTTGCTCATGACCAAAAATGTGCAAAGACATTTAGACCGATTACACTTGCTGTTTGTACAAACCCAAGAAAAACAGAGATGGCCGTGCAATTGTGATTTAAGCAATCTCAACCACATTTAACCGCATAACATACACGTTTCAATCAACAGATAATTGCAGGCACTTCAACAAACAGAAACTAGCATCATAGAGGGACATCAGACATCAAAAAACAGCCACAATGCATGTAACATCCTGCAATTTGGAGAGAATGATATAGAAAACGAGAGGATAGCTGTAATTTTAAATGATAGAGATCCACAAAAGAGAATAGCAGTTATTAGTCATCACTGCACCATTTTGCAACTTTAATACACGCAGATCCATATAACAGTACAGTCAACATGGAATAAAAAAACCCTCRTAAACAGCACCTATACCCAGATTCACATCATCATCATCACACAAGCCTTAATTCAACATTGCACCAAAATCATGACTGGGAGAAGGGTTTTGGCCAAAATAAAGCATCGAAGAGCAAAAAAATGAAAATATTTGGTTCCTATGCCTCAAATCTAACATGAAAAAAGATGACAACAGTAACTGGGATGGCCATCGAAGAGAATAATAGTAATAAAGTCGTGTGCTGTGAAACCTCTAAAGAGAGTTATATAACCTGATATCTTCACTGTTAGGTGTAACAATGACAGCAACTTCAGTATAGACGTTTGCAGAATGGGATCGGAATGAATGTATTAGGAGCAAGTTTATCATATGGGACCTGAACAATGTGCAGATCTTCCACTTAAAGAGGACCTAATGTGAAATTAACAATAGCCATATATCATCAACAAAAATAATAAATAATGCTAGAACAGAGTAACCTGCAGTAGTAAGAACACAGCTAATTATGTGCCACTAACAGCCAGTCTCTGTGAACCATGTTCAATAGTTTGACAAGGTTGAGATTAATAACAATTTTATAACAATGGAAGCTCCAACCGATCTGCTGCATGAAATGGATTTAGGAATAACAGCAGAAGCAGATCTATTGGAGCAGACTTCAACTCAGCAACCAAACCAAGCATCACTCAGCACCAAAATCAGTTGAACCAAATTCGACCCGACCCCAGCAACTATTAAGGACAGCAACAGCCAACCTTACATAGATCTCAGCTACCACCTCACAGGTACAGCCACAACTTGATGTGCTATCACATCCCAGTAAATGATGCAATGAATACTTGCAACCACTTCACAGCTACAGCCACGATTCCATGTGCCATCATATCTTGGTACATGATGCAACATAAGTCATCACCCYAAGTGGAAGCCTAGCATCCTCAACAAAATAAGCAATCATATATCTGTCTGCTACCCCGTCTCAACCTCGTCAGGATGGAAGGGTCAGCTCAGCATTACTAAGTCACGTCTTAAGTACCAGCAACAGTGTAATTGAAAATCAGGTCCAGCCCACTGGCAGCATCAGCTACAAGTAAAGACACATGTCCCGACCATCTTTTTCAGGCCTCACAGCTACAATTATTTTCTTCAGGGCCCAAATTTTACAGCCATTGAAGACCAGAGCACGGTCAGGTTAAAAGTCAAATTCCTTTTGGATGCAAGACGAATCATAAGAGATAAAATATAAACCTTACCTATCATGCGATCATCAGAGTAAATTACTTAAAAATTTTAGGCGGTGGCATCAAAACGAACATCATCCATCTAGGAAGTATAAAGAGCATCAACAGCTACTACATCACCATCCGCCAATCAGCCACAAAAACTCTTTTCACGATCATAACTATAAAATCCCAGTATACGATTCATCACAGGTCAGAATTCCCACCAAGGCATTAACAGAACCCACAAATGCAATTTATGGCACACACATAATATGACTAAAATACTAGTCAAAGATACATATAAACAGTATAAAATCTATTGCAAGTATTGGAGATTTTCCAGCTTACAAACTACACTGTCCATAGAGTACTCAACAACCCCACAGAATGGAAGGATGCATTAAGTTCAATAGAAAATAGTTAAAAGAAGATGCATTCAGTACTTTTTATCAGACCATGCAAAGTCCACAAAGATCTGCTGCTGTAGCAATATGATCACACAAAACGCCTTCAACCAGTAGCAACTCATAACATGTAATGCCCCTCTGTTTATTCCTGCAAAACGTTAGGAAATGTTAAAATTAGTAGTATTTATTTACTAGTTCCACTCAAAATGAAGCCAAGAGGAATAGTTAACTGCATTTCACAATTTACAACATAAGATTACATATCAAATCTTATAACTGAATCCCTACCCAAAAAGGAAGTTTTATGATTACAATTAAATTCATGATTTTATGACTAATCAAGACAAATGAAACTTGGATCAATAGTTAAGACCCATGAAAGGATCATCGTTTCCTTCAAATTTTTACAGGCCTTAAATTACATACTATAGACTTGTTTGGTTAGTTAAAACAATATAAAACCCTTATCAGCTTATTTCCCATCCTATATAATCTAAAAAAACATCATTGTCTGGGTTAAAATGGATTTTAAACTTGACAAAAACATATATTAATCATTTATAGAGTGGACATGCATGTAACTGAAACTGGATTGCCATCAATCCCAAATATGTTTCTTTTTAGCATGCTAACATATCATTTTGAAATGAATAGTTTGTGACAAAATTCTATTCAATACAGCCTTCTTTACCATTTACAAAACATTTAGAACTTTCAGAACAATGAAAGTAGTAAAATGGCTTACCTCAGCATCTGAGTTTCGTGGTGATGGGCTTCGAGAACCAACACGTTGACCTCGCGGAGAAACACTTCTGGGAGATGGGGATCGTTCATCACGGCTGCGTCTCTCAGGACTTTCATYCCTGGAAGGTGTCCTGCGTGGACTTGGGCTCCTCCGAGGACTTGGACTACGCCGAACAGGTGAAGCACTACAGCATGAAGTGGGATATCCTCAAAAAAAAACTAGTAAAAGTAACTGCAAAGGAAAACAAGATAATGACAAGGAGCACAACAAATAAAATACCTTTCAAATGATCGGCTGCGGCTTCTTCTATGTTCATCATCATATCTACCTCGGCCACGCCCTCTGTGATAATCTGGGCTTCCACTACGGCTCTTGCTTCGACGGCGATAATCTCTCTCCTTCCCACGATACCTGTCCCTATCATAACGACCCCTACTTCTACTACGGCTTCTCCTTCTGTAGTCCCTATCTCGATAATCATCCCGGTACCTAAATATGATTATCATCAGTCCCAGAACATAGTGGAAGCACTGAGATTCTAAGCTACACTAAGCAATGCCAATGACTAGCTTGAGTTAAGTTAATCATCTGAATGATGTTTCCAACCATAACATGCTCCAACTACAAATTTAACAATCAAGACAGCCATTCATGTAGAACAACATATAATGGGAATAGATAAATTGTGCTTGAAGGCATAGCACTTGAAGAGCAGAATGGTTGACAGAATGATTCACATGGCAAAAGCCTAACAGAACAAACAGATCTCTGTTGAATTCATAAATAAGACAAATTGTGCATCAAATATAAGTTGCATTAACCAAAGTGCCCAAAATTATTATCAATATACTCATAATGTTGAATGTTGGTGGAACAATAATTCTTACCTTGGACGTGGGCTGCGGCTTCTTGACCTGCCTCTTGTCTTTGGAAATATTTCAATTATCCTTCCTTTATGACTGGGAAAAAGAAAAAGAAATCAACGTTTAGAAAAATAATTGCTGGATAGAAAACCATATAATGCTGCGGGGTATTAACCATATAAAACCAGGCATTAAGACAAGGTCATACACATAACCAGTAAAATACATGAGAATTAAAAAATGGCCACCTAGGACAGACTCTCAAAAGAAAGAGAATGCAACTATATTTATTAAGGGGTTCACTATCATACTGGATTAACTTGTAACCAACAACAGGTATCATTAAAGTCGTAACCAATCAGGTGGTTGCTTGTCAAATTCATCGGGGGTATCAAATTAACTGGGGGCGGTTGATAAAAGTCCTTCTGGTATGATGTCTTTCCCGCAGCGTAGATTTTTCTATTTATTAAAATCCATTTGTCCAAATTACGATGCATGTGTTGAATTTATTAAAAACTTCCAAGGGTTAGACTATGATACCGGAAAAACTTGTAAACAATCAACCTGTATTATGAAGCCGGAAGCATAGATGTTTCCAACTTCCAAATACAAAAATAATCATGTTCAGGACGTGGCTGTTGCATATAAAACAGGTTATGACCAAACCAAACGCATCAATCGAAAATTTATGTAAGGGGAGAACAAAGTCTTCCCAAAAGAAAGAAAGTTGCAATAGGTATGATACCGCTTACCCTACCACCCCATCAATAAATCGCTCTCATCACTTCCAATGGAACATTAGAGATTAAAGACAAAAAAAATGAAAACTTACATGGGTTCGGCATTTGGACCATATTTCGCAAATTGAACCATGATTTCCCGACCATCGACCGTCCTTCCTAACAACATCAAGGCAAAAATATAGAACATAAAAAATCAACAAAAGAACCAGCCAACTAATCAATGAATATAAAGTTCATCAAACAACAACTATAAATAATGGGAGATGGGAAGAGCAACAATCACCATCGAGTTTTTCCACCGCCTTCTGCGCCTCATCCGCATACTTGTACCGAACAAACGCAAAGCCACGTGAATCTCCAGTCCTATTGCATAAAGAAAAGACATTTTTATCACAAAGATGGGAGGAAAAACCGAACTTCCATAAAACCCATTTAAACGAGATGGAAAAAATTGACCCTYAGCTAAAACATTCAATAAAAAAGACGCAATACCTTCGGTCTCTAGGTATGAAGATGTCTACAACCTTTCCGTATTTGTCGAAAAGAGGAAACAGATCATCTGCAGTGGTTCCTGTGGAGAAAAAGAACGAGCAATGTATTAAAAATACAGAATTTATCTTGAATAAAAAAAAGGATTCAATAATCGAAAGAAGGATGAGATCCTTACGGAATGTAATGTTGAGAACGAGAAGAGAATAGGTGTCTCTGATATCCGGAGGACCAGATCTCCCAAAGTGAGACATTGTTCTGGTTTCTGAGCTAGCGAGCGATTAGGGTTCTTAGGTTAGGGTTTGAGGTGGAGAACCCTACACGCGGAAGGAAGCCTTTCTATCGATTATATAGACGGAGCGAAGGAACTTGTCGGATAAGCATGCCCCGGCTTTGGGTAAAATTACAAAACTACCCATCATATTTTTGTTCCATTGCTCGAAGTATTATACAACAATTCTTTAGTTTAATGGACCTAATTAATGGTCACATCCATGAGCTAGGGTAGATTCCGAAAACCCCTAAACCATACGTGTCAAAAAAAAGGGTAAAATACAAAAACCTTTTCTATAATTTTTGACAATCAAAAAACCTCCCCTGTAATTTTATTTTAACAAATACATCTTCTGAACTTTTGAAAAATTCAACAAAAACCTCTMTTTCCTTACTGTCTTAAACGAAAAACATTATATTGATGCACTAATATCCATTCTACCATTTTATAAATTATTTTACATACAAAATTATTGAAATAATCCCATTTTAACTCAACAAAAAAACATATTTCAGTAATTTTGTATGTAAAATTACTAAAATGATTGTTAAAAGAGGTTTTTATTGAATTAAAATGGGATTATTTCAATAAATTTGTATGTAAAATAATTTATAAAAGGGTACAATAGGTATTTGGAAAAAAAATGGTGCATCGATATTTGTTGAGACAGTACTGGAGGTTTTTGTTGAGTTTCTCAAAAGTTCAGGAGAGTATTTGTTAAAATGAAACTATAAGGGAGATTTTTATGATTGCCAAAAACTTTAGAGGAAGTTTTTGTATTTTATCCAGCAAAACCCTAAACTACAGGGGTGTATCATCTTACTAGTGGAGGGAGAGGGGTTGATCGTTGGTACTTGGTACGTTTGATGCATAATGGATTCTTACACCTACAGATTTGGAAAAAGGAGATTTATTGACGGTGTGTGACACCAAATAGCAAAAATAACCATAAAAAGTTGCAAAATACTAAGGCCCTGTTTGGCATCACTTATCAGAATCGTTTCTAGTAATTCTTGCGATTTTGAGAGTGAAAATCACTTTTTTATTTGCCCAACCCCCATTTCTCATTCAAAAATTGGATAAAAAAAATCCCTCCGTCAGCTTGATTCATTAGAGTGAAAAAAAAAAAAGATTCTTTGAATGAGAATTCTAGTCGAATTCATTCTCGTGACGTTCTTATATAAAAAACGAACATGTGTAACAAGAACCACACGTGATAGTAAGGGTACATGTAATTGCAAACATCTTTGACCTAAACCCTCGTTCTCTTCACATTTTGCCTTGCATCTTCTTGCAAGTTAAAACAACTCTCTCCATCCCTCTCCGGCGCCGTCAACATCATCCTCCTCATACTCTATCTCACGTAATATTTCAACCAAATTTGTTTTTTCCACATCATCTTCTTCATGCAACATCTTATTGCAAGTTGCAACGACTCTCTCCATCATTTTTTTTCTTTTCTTCTCAATCTGAGAATCCTTCCAATAGTTCTTTCTCCACTGGTCATCTCTAGCATTGTCATCACTCTCCCAACTCACATGTATGGAATTCTTGATCCCAATAAATTTTACTATTGGTGCATTGACTATTACAAATGCATCCACAAAATGATAAATTAATTATTTAATTCTCTATATTTGGTTATATAGTGATCCCAAAAAAATGATTGTTGCTCACAAATGGTGATGTTGTAGCTAGGACGACAATGTAATAGTTAAAGACTTTTTTAGTTTAAGTCATTGCATTGAGTCCAGTAACCTTTTATTTTTTTTTTTCATTCTTTTTTATTTTTTGGGGTACCGGATCTTATAATCTATCTTAACATGTATGGAAAAATATGACAAATAACATGTTAACCTAAGACTGTGCCAAATAGGACTATAGTGCCAAACAGGACTACAGTGATTCTCGTGATAAAAATTCTCATAATCCATCATTTTTTTCAAAAATGATTATGAGAATGTGATCCTTTGGAGTGATGCCAAACGGGAGCGAGTAAAATGCTGAAATCATCATTCCCCGTCATTTTTTGGGTAAAATACAAAAACCCTAAAGTTTGAGACAATCATAAAAACATATCTTATAGTTTCACTTTAACAAAAACCGCCCTTCCATTAGTGATCATGACAGAAAATGTTAAGCTGGTGCTAAATCTTTTCCAAATATCAATTTTACCCTTTTGTAAAATAGCTCGTGTTCAAGGTGTCCAAACGCAAAAAAGTTGCCACGTCAGCCATCATGAGTCMTGGATGAATTTCGCAACTTAAGTATCCAACTCACATTTTAGAAGAAGCTTTCTTCTCCTCTTCTTTGGTTCTTAGAAATCTCTTGCTTTTACAAAAACTTTGAAACCGTTTTGTTATTCTTGCCGGCTTCGTTACATTTATGATTGCGTCTTCCTAATAACTCAAAAGATATTCCTAGAACTCTTTCACTTGCAAAGCTGAGACTATTGTATTGGTTCGTAGCTAGAACTAGAAGTTAGGTTCAATTAATAACCAGATTCGTATGCAAATTTGTATCAATAACCATTTTAATTTGTTAGTGATTCAGATCTTCACAATAATGTTGCTATTTCGAGCTTTATTGACCATGTCATGCTAGTACCCTTGGGAGCTTGGTGAATTACGAATGTCGCATGTGGACTGAGGTTCGAGCTTTCCTTTCCATCATATTTAATTAATGCATAATTATTTATCTTAATTCTCTTATTATTTCGTAATACTTTCTCTGCCATTACATTGACCTTAGTGCTAAACAAATTACATACATAAATGGAAATATTCTTTTAGTTTATTCATTTTCCATACCCCTTCTTTTTCCTTAAGGCTATATTTGGTTTGAAGGAAAAAGTAGGGAAAGGGAAATGTAAGGAAACCTTTACAAATTCCTTCAAACCAAACATAGCCTAAGTAAATTTATCTGTCAAATAACTTATGCTCTCATTCACTGATTTCACCATTAGATCTCTATTCCATTTTCATTTTCACTCCTATTAGTACTTTTTAGTAAAATAAAGGTTTCCTTGGTTCTCTTCCATTATCTTCGTCTTACGTCAATCCAAATTTGTTCTTACGATCAGTCTTTTTTTTCCCTTAATTGTCATCCTAAGAAAAAGTGCAGAAAGAAAACTCCATTTCGCCAACAATAATCATTTCTTTCATTCAATTATTAAGGTGTCGTTCTTCTTCTTTTTTTTTTTTCTTTAGGCTATGTTTGGTTTAAAGGAAAGAGAAGGGAAAGGTAGGAAAACCTTTACAATCATTTTGCTTTATTTAAAACCATTAGGAAGACATGTGTAACTATAAACAATAAAAATAAAGGGGGGAAAAGGGAGAAACCTATATAATAAAGTGGTAGAAATATTGCATATTTAGGGAAGGTGAATTGGGAGGTTTGGAGTGACGAGGAGGGTCTATAATTTACGAAACCTCCTGTTGCCATCCCTATTGTTGTTGTTGTTTTTGGTTGCATTTATATTTTTATTGGCTAATCTAGGGACCAAGGTTTTGGACAAGGGGGGGGGGGGAACTATTCAAGTTCTTTAATGGAAAGAAGGAGAGTAAAACACATGGATATTTTATCCTTTTATTTTTATTTGCTACATTTTTTAGTTTACTATGCCTACAGATGGCAAATTTCCCTATCTCTATTGGGTACCACTTGCCTTGGCGATGGGGACAAGGGTGGGGATTAATAGAGATATTCAATCGGGAATGAGGATGGGAAGGGGAGTGAAGTCCCCTCCCTACCCCAACCCCAAATAGGGGTGTCAGTAGTATTTGAAAATCCAATTTTTAATATGATATTCAACTTAGTCGAATTGAATTCAAATAATTCGATTATAATAAATGATCGAATTTGAATACCTTATATATACCGTTTAAATTATCGAATCGAATTCAGAGTTGAGGTGGTTCGATTTGATAAATATCCAATTCGTGTGTGTGTGTGGTGATATGAAAGAACTATGATGATTTTCGATAAAATCATTTTTTAATATTATTATATTATATGAAAAGTACTATATATAAGTAATGATGATTATTTGAAAAATAACACTTATATTTTACTACTATTTATAATAAACAAATAAAAAAACAGTCTGTTGATCCGAGATCTCTCTTTACTTTTTTCACAAAGAATTTTTTTTCACAGCCTTATTTCATTTTGCTTGATTTAAAACCATCGGGAGGACATGTGTCACTATAAACAATAAAATGAATGGGAAAAAAAGGGATAAACCTATATAATAAAATGGTAGAAATATTGCATATTTAAGGAAGGTGAGTTGGGAGGTTTGGAGTGACGATGAGAGTCTACAATTTACAAAACCTCCTGTTGCCACCCCTAATTTTGTTGTTATTTTTGGTTGCATTCTCTTTGCTTGTAATTCATTTATACTTTTATCGGCTAATCTATAGACCAAAGTTTTGGACAAGAGGGGGGGTGAATATTCAAGTTCATGACAATACTCTATATTTAATGGAAAGAAGGAGAGGAAAACACATGGATATTTTATCCTTTATTTTTATTTGCTACGTTTTTTTAGTTTACTATGCCTATTGGGTACCACCTGCCTTGGTGGGACGGGACAAGGGTGGGGATTAATAGGGATATTCAATTGGGAATGGGAAGGGGAGTGAAGTCCCCTCCCTACTCCAACCTCAAATAGGGGTGTCAACAGTATTCGAAAATTCGATTTCCAATTCGAGATTCAATTTAGTCGAATCAAATTCAAATAGTTCAATTATAATAAATGGTCGAATTTGAATACCTTATGTATACCGTTTAAATTATTGAATCGAATTCGGAGTTGAGGTGGTTTGATTCGATAAATATCTGATTCGTGTGTGTATATGTGATAGTGATATGAAAGAACTATGATGATTTTCGATAAAATCATTTTTTAATATTATTATATTATAAAAAAGTAATGAAAAGTACTATATCATAAATAATGATGATTCTTTGAAAAATAACTTTCATATTTTACTATTTTTTATAATATAAAAAATAAATAAATAGTCTGTTGATCCGAGATCTCTCTTTACTTTTTTTACAAAGAAATCTTTTTTGTTTTTATTGTTTTGTTTTAAACTTTGAGTTTAGTGAGCTAACACTTCTCTCCCTACCCCTATTTCCGAATTGTTTTCCCATTGTAGTTCCAACCAAACTTCCTGCAAGTTGTTGCAACATCTTCATGCAATACTGTAGTTCCAACCAAGTTTTTTTTACAGTTGGAGAATCTTCCATATCTTATATCTCAGCCATGAAGATAGAAATATGTTGGTGATCTAGTATGCAATCTTTAGAAAAAATTTCTTTATCTTATAGCGCAAACCCACACTTCATTTGGATTTTTTTTTTGTAGGCGAAAGAGATAAGTACAACTATGAGCCCATGACTGAAATCATCAAATCAAGTTTCAGAGCAAAGGTTCGTAAAAAAYAATACATGGTCAAAATAAGAACATAAGAGAAGAAGAAGAAGAGGCTTGAGGGTTTTAAGAATTATGATGTTTAAGGATTTGGTATCTGTATAATAGATTAACAAATCCACATGATTGTTTTTTGGGCTTTGCTTTAGTTTTTTTACATGTTTCATTTTTTTATAGGTAATTTTTAATAGATCTTTGCATAGAGTGGCAACGTTTCCAATTACTCACTATACTCTGTAATTTTTGTTTTTTTTTTTCATTTTTTTGAGTTAAGAATGCATTATATTGATCGAATTTGAATAGAACCAAATATTCGATTTTCCAATCAAATTCAAATTCAAATTTTATTTTTAAATATCCATCAAATTTTGAATCGAATTCAAATTATCACACCTCTAATCAAAATCGATTTCGAATATTGAATAATTYACTTCGAATTCGATCCATTTACACCCCTAACCCCAATTATATATACATATTAAATATTATTTATATTAAATATATGTGCATATATCATGTTAAATGTATACTATTATTTATGTTAGTTGTAACATTATTATATATACATATATATCAAAATAATTTGAAATATTATTTACATTTTATTTTTTCCTTTTATTTTAAACAAAGCATTTTTTCAAAAAAAACAAACTTTAAATTAAAAATTCAGAGATTTGGGTCCCTAACGAGGATAATATGATTGGAGGTGCAAATTGCAGGAGATCCGATTCACAATAGTATATAATTTACCAAAAGAAAAATGATAATTTACCAAGACGCTCCCTGTAATTTCATCTAAATATTAAAACCTACCCTATTTTATTTTTATTTTATATTATTTTAGGTTGACATTTGGGTTTTTTATTTTCTTTTAATTTATATCTTTCTATATATACTCTGGTTGAATAGTTGTTAGGGTTAAATATGTCATTTTTACGTGAAATAAATGACCCAAAAAAATACCGGTCCGACCTTGCGTCTACGGTGGTACACTGGTATTAGTCTATGGTAAATACACCATCTTAGCGTTTCTTCAGGCTCTCTTTTCGCAACAAAGGATAGCGGGGAGAAGGGAAAGACCGAAAGACCAAAAGATCTTCTCTCCTGGTTGCCGTTAATGGCGGGGACCAAACATAAAGGTCCCCCGTCGACTTCAGAGAGGGTTAACGGAAGGGTTTGGCTCTACCTGGTTCTACTTACCTTGCAATATGGAGCGCAGCCTTTGATTTCAAAACGTTTCACTAGGTGATTTCCCTCTATTCTTGATTTGTTATTCTACACGTTTGATCTTCCGAGCGTTATTAGATTCCATATTCTGTCAACTGCACTTAAATTTTGAGTTTCGAAGTGTTGTTAGATAGGATTTTCAAGCAACTATATTTGTGATTTTTCTTCCATAACTGGTAATTTTTGGTGCAGCGGTGTTGGAATTATCTTCGTTTTGAATTATGAATATATGCGCCCTGAGTAGTCCGACCTGATGTAAATTTGTTCTTTCAGAGCGCCTTGCTCCCTAATTATCAGATCTTTTACTTGTCAAAAAAAGAAGAAGGAAGAGAATTCATCTCTACCTCCAAAGAGTGTTGTGATTCTTCGGATAAACTGAAATACACATTTCGATTCCTCAGTTGATATTGAAGTTGCCAACCTACTAAGTACTTTCTATAGAAACTGGGAAWTTTTTTTGCCTCTAACTTCAAGGTTGAGATATATACTCGGAAGTCTACAAGAATGGATTTTGATCTGTCAAAGTAAGTAACCAATGCTAGAAATCCATCAAAAAAGTCAGGACCATACTTGGAGAACAAGGAAGTATCAGTTACGTGTTAAATCTTTAGTAATTAGAAGGACAAGTTCCTCTGTACTAGACTTTGGTGCTTTAACTTTTGGATGTTTCTTCTGAAGGCATTCTTGCCGTTTTTCTCCTTGTAACGTTACCCTTCCCTGATGCTTTATCAAATTCACTTTCAACTACCATAGCTGTAACACTGTATATTCCAAATTTCCAGATATCGCCCAAAGTCTTTCTTTCCCCACTAGCAAATGTTGGTAAGTAACTAAGCTTTGTTATCTCACAACTTGAACCTTCTAAATTATGGCACTCTATAGGATCTCTTGCCATCTCCTTCTTCATGTAACTAAACCCACCAGTCCTTTGTAAAACAAAATGTTCGTATTTATATCTGTATTTCTCATGCAGCAATAACCGTTTCATGACTCTATGTGGTGCCTATTAACATATAGTCTTGGTTTAATTTTTGTTGTAGGCGTGAAGTTATTGTGACTTCATCAGTACTTGCATGTGAGATAGCAAAGGTGATTACTTTACAAGATCAATTTCTTGGTATATCACAATCCACATTTATGTCCAAATATATGATTTCTTTCCATTTTGTTCTAATAGGTTATTTGTGCATTGATTCTCCTGGCAAAAGAAGGCAGTCTAAAGAGAATATGCAAAAAATGGACATTGACTGGTGCATTAACTGCATCAGGCCTTCCAGCAGCTATTTATGCATTGCAGAATAGTTTATTGCAGATTTCTTACAAAAACCTTGATTCTCTGACATTCTCAATGCTCAACCAGACAAAGTTATTCTTCACAGCATTGTTTACATATCTCATATTGAGGTATCTTGTCAGTGTAACGTATTTAATGGAATTACATTTGCCTTCTTGTATACACTATACTCACAATAATGGATACTTAGTAGAAGCATTCTTAAGTCAAGTATATGGATGCATCTATTTTTTTCCCCAAGATATTGCTTATTGTACCATTATTAGGTATTGATCAATACCTATTACTTGTAGTTGCCTTGTGTTATATTTGTTTTAATACTGAATTTATGATGTGCTTGTGTGTATTTGTATGTATTGCATGTATATAAGAGAAATTGTGATGTTATTTAACAATCAATTTGTTATGTGCTTGCAGCTAGCTAGCCAGCCACATCATCATAGTAGGTCAATAAAATGGAGTTTTTTCTTTTTGATCAGCAATAAATTCAAAATTATATTAAATCATGAAACTGGTTAATACAATGAAAGGGTAAATCCACCCAAATAACAATCCAGACCCGACAAAGTTACAAGATTACAATTGTGACCAAAACAGTTGTTGTCTATATCTCCCTTTGCTGAAGTATTGGCCATCCCATTTGCTGTCCTTCTAATCCACTTGAAAGATATATTCCATATCCAGCTCATGCTTGAGGCTTTCTAGTTCCCTAAACTCATGCTTATAGATCCATGACACAAGCTGCTTACTCGTGACCCAAGAAACGATCATCTTTGAATCTCCCTCTATTACCAATTGCTGAAAATTTGATTGCTTGGCAGTTTGTAATCCTTGTAGTAATGCCATCAGCTCAGCTTTTAGTGAATCTCCCAGAAGGTCCTGAAAACATAGCCAAAACCTTCTCCGTGCAGTCTCTAAATACTCCTCCAGTACCTGCTGTTCCTATGCTTCCCATGGAGCTTCCATCAAAATTTAAATTTATTTTGTTAGCCACTGGTGGCAAGTGGCAACCACTCCATAACGACCTTTTCCTTTCTCCTAGAAGAAGATGCCACTTTATTCCATGTCCTCAGGATATCATTCACTGAAAAAATTCTTTGAATAGATGAAGTGTCTTTATCCAATGTGTTGTTCTGATTTTTATATCTTCAACTATTTCCTCTTTTGATCTACATTTGTCATTGAAAATTCTCCCATTCCTTTCCTCCCAAATGGATCAAGTAGAAGTTAATGGCAAGATAGTTGCACGAAGCATGAAGCTTCCTGTTTGTTGTTTTATGTGAGTAGAAAAAATAAGGAGAATGAGTGAGTCTTTTGGTTTCTCTAACAACACACTTCAAGTTTTTCTCTATCGGTGTAGCTATAATAAGTAGTTTAGACTTGTATGAAAGACATCTTAAATTTTGAATACCAAAATTACTGAGAATCGTTTTCTTTGAAGAATTCTTTTTTTGACCAACAACATAGAAAAGATTTTATTGATTAGAAAAAATCATGGTTACAACAAGAAGTTGTGAAAGAAACCCAACTTTAGAAAGCTGATCCAAATCAAATTAACAATTGAGCCCAAAACAGATGTGTTCTTTGTACCCCTTGCTTAGATAAGCTATCTGCCAAGTTGTTGGTAGTTATCCTCACCCATTTCACTCTGATTGACATGTCCTTTGATAGCCGTTTAAATCTCCTGAATTCATTCCTTAACTGCTATGTCATCCCTTCTCCCTTCTGTAACCATTTATCACAGTTTTTGAGTCTCCCTCAATGATCAGTCTATTAATACCCAACTCTTTTGCCTTTTCAACCCCATATACTGCAGCCAGAAACTCTGACCTTGCCACATCACCTTGTTCCACCGGAGTATAGAGCAACAATGTTTCCATATTTATCTCTAATGGCCCCCTATGCTTAAGGCCCGGATTACCCACACAACTCCCATCAAAGTTCAACTTATTCCAGCCATCTATTGGGGGAGACCACGTCTCAACAGATTTTTGTCTTGTAGATGAAGAGGCAACAATAACACCCTAAACCCTGAAAAAATCTTCAACCTTAAAATCTGAAAACAACTTCATGTTTTTTTGCTCAGTGGGCAACTCTCAAAGGCAGTGTTTGGCATCGATGTTGCTTTCTGAGAAAACGGTGCCATGTAGGCACCACATCAGAAAAAGCGGTGCTTCAGAAAACAACCTCTTATTTGGTATCGTTTTTTCCAGAAAAAAAAAACATTGCTCCAAGCCCCGCCTTGGAAATTGGGAAAGTGTGGTCTGAAGAAATGCCAAATTCAATGTTTTCTTAGAAAACAACCTGTAGCTGCCAGCGGTGCAATGATGTGGCATAATCTTGGATGTTGGATAATATAGACCAATGCTGAAAATGGTTCTACAACACTGGTACCAAACAAAACTAGTGTTGTTTTCCCAGAAAACAGCCTATGTGGCAGCATTGATGCCAAACAAAAAAAGGAGCTATTTTCTGAGAAAACAGTGCAACAGACCCTCATGCATACATCATCGTTTTATCAAAAAACATCTTTGAAGCAACGACATCGATGCCAAGCACCTACAAAGTTATTGTTTCGACCAAGGCTTCTTTGCTTTTTTCTCTTTCTTTAAATATTCTTGCATTTCTTTCCTTCAAAATAGTCCACAATAGTGTTGCTCTAGTACACCTCCACAAGATCCTACCCCTCCTTTTAGTGCAACTCATGCAAGTAGGGCTTAACAAACCATCCAACTTGTCAGGAGAAGACCACCTGCAACCAAAGAGGGAAGTGAACCAATTCCAAATAAAGCTAACAAAAGGGTATGCCATTAGAAGGTAAAGTGCAGTCTCACCATTCAACTTACACAAGATAGACTAGTTGGGGGACAAACACCAATTTGGTCCTTTCTTTGAAATAGATCATAGGTATTAATACAACCATGAAACACTTCCCAACATAAAGCATTGATTTTAGGGGGAATGGGAGAGTACCAAATTTCCTTGAGATCCAAAATAAAAGAGTGGAATAGGGATCAATTTGGAAGAGTGGAGGAAACAAAAGCTACCTTATTGACTCAAATTAAGAGTCTAGATGCAAAAGAGTTCCAAAGATTGATGAGTGGGCAGGACCAAGAAGTGAGATGGAAATTGAAAAAGGAATTAGAAGATGTCTTGTTGAGGGAGGATATTTCATGGAGACAAAAATCAAGGCATAAGTGGATGAAGGAAGGGGATGGGAACACCAAATTTTTTCATGCTATGGCCAATGGGAGAAAAAGGAAAAATTTGATAGTAAATCTTGAGGTCAATGGAGTTGACATCACCTCTCAAGAGGAGATTGCTAGTTGCTTTGTGGATCACTTCAAATCAATCTTTCAAAGACCTTTGGAGATTCGGGAGGGAGTGGAGGATGTGGATTGGCTAACTTTGAATGAGAATGATAGGGGATGGTTAGTAAGAACTATTGAGGAAGAGGAGATAAGACAGGTTGTCTTCTCTATTGATAGAGCTAAGGCTCCGGGACCAGATGGTTTTACAATGGCATTTTACCAAGACTATTGGGATATACTCAAAGAAAATTTAATAGGGGTTATTAGAGAGTTTGAGTACAAGCATATGGTGAGTCCTGGAGTAAATGCTACATTCCTAGCTCTTGTTCCCAAAAAAGACTAGTGCTAAACATTCCAAGGATTTTAGGCCGATTAGTTTGGTGACTAGCATCTACAAGATATTGGCAAAAGTACTCTCCAGGAGGATCAAAGCAGTTCTACCTATTCTCATTAGTCAAGCACAAGGTGCTTTTGTACAAGACAAACAAATTGTAGATTAGATCCTCATAGCAAATGAAAGTGTAGAGGAAATGAGGAGATCAAGTAGTCAAGGATTTGCGTGCAAATTGGATTTAGAAAAGGCTTATGATCTAGTGGACTGGAGTTATTTATTGGAGGTGTTAATAAGGCGAGGATTTGGGGACAAATGGTGTAATTGGATAAGTGTTTGCCTAACTTCATGTCATTACTCAATCTTAGTGAATGTGGTCAAGGACTTCTTCCCAGCCAGGAGAGGCTTAAGACAAGGTGGCCCACTCTCTCCCTTCCTCTTCACACTTGTTTTTGATGTGTTTAGTAGATTGATATCAAAAGTAGATGAGCATGAGCTAATTAGGGGTTGGAGATTAGGTAGAAGTGTTCTAATGACCCACCTTCAGTTTGCAGATGATATCATTATTTTTGGTGAAGGGAGTGATTTTAGAAAGGTGGACAACCTTAAGAATCTAATAAGGGTCTTTGAGAATGCCTCCAATTTGAGGATAAACCTTGAAAAAAGATGTGTTGTTGGAATAAATTTGGAGGATGGAGAGGTAGAGTCCATTGCAGCTCGCTTAGGTTATGCTACCTCTTCTTGGCCTTTGACCTACTTAGGGCTTCCCTTAGGTGCAAACCCTAATGAGAGTAGCTTCTGGTCCCCTATTGTGGAGAAATTTGGGAAATATTTGGTGGCTTGGAAAAAGAATACATCTCTATAGGGGGTAGAGTGACTTTGAACAGGGCAATACTTGCCAACCTTCCAACATACTTCCTTTCAGTCTTTAGGATTCTCCCAAGGGAGGCTAAGAAATTGGAAAAGGTAATGAGGGATTTATTGTGGGAACCAGGAGAGGTGAAGAAAGATCATCTAATCAGATGGGAGATAGTCAATAAAAGTAAGGGAAGGAGGTTTGGGGTTAGGAAACATAGTTCAAAAGAATGAAGCTTTATTAGGGAAGTGGCTATGGAGATGGCCTTTGGAGAGGGAGAGATTATGGCATGAGGTGGTGTTAAGCATTTATRATTGGGACTTGGGATGTCAGGATACCTTGTTGGGCTACTCTCAAAACACCTCGGAAGACGATACAAGGTATTCTCCACCACTTCCTCGGGTTTATCAGGTATGAAGTTTGCTCTGGTACTTCTATTTGGTTCTGGGAGGATGTTTGGGTGGGTAGCCAGCCCCTCAAGGATCTTTTTCCATCTCTCTATTCTCTCTCCCTTTACAAAAATGAACCTATTTCAAAGTTTCTCCCTAGTACATTACTTACCTTGTCTTTAAATCGGGACTTTGGCTTTCATAGGGGATTAAGGGATGCTGA